ATCCACTTGCCATGGAAAAATTGGAGGCGAACGTTGACTTTGTGATATGGAACCCGCAAACACCATCCGTTGGCAGGTATGTCGCGAATGCTGCCGGGCGCTCCACCTTGTATGAGCTGTCGCTCGTTGGCATGTTCGCCAGCTCTCTCCTGATCCGAACGGCATCACGCTCCCAAAGCCCGTTCAATTGCTCTTCTGTCAACCAATTCCATCCCTCGTCATCACCTTCCTCTGTGCCCACCTCCCAGATAGTCGAGATTGCTCCCCGCTTCTCCCATCCGCCCCCTTTACCTCCAGGGCCAGCCGACCGGTAAAACTCCTCCCCAACATCACTGTACAACACTGAGAATAGTCCATTACCGGCATCCGCTACCTCTTCTGGCGGTGCACCCCATGCCTCGGGGAATTTAGGAAGATTGGCATGTGAGGCATTGACCCAATGCAGGAGGCTCATCATATGGTTTGCATAGCCGCGCTTGCGCTTCGAGGGTGGAGTGAACACGCAGGCGACACCGTAACAAGTTGCTTCGTGCACTGAGTTGGGCTCAGACGGGGAGGATGAGGGGTAAGCGACAAGACCTGTGCGCTTATATCTGTCCCCATAGATGCGCGTCAGAAATTGCCTGTTCGTTGAAGGAACTCGAGTTGCTTACGTCTCGCAAGCGCTCATAAAATCAAGCGTTGTGGGGTCATTCCGTGGCGCCAGCACCCTTCTCTCCCGTTAGCTTCTTTTTACCAGCAAAGTGGGGCGCTCACCAAGTAATCCACTTTCCATCCTTGGCGTGCTCGCCCGATTCCATCGTCGCATCTCGCGCAAGGTAGTCTGTCAGGTTCAGAGCACCACCCCCATTGCGGAAAAGTCCGGCGCCGTGACTCTTCAGCCTGCGCACTCGTCGCGCGGAAGAGCGAGAGCGATGCAAGATCTACCTTAGGTTCTGCCATCGGAGATATACTTTGCGATATGAGGAGCGTTGATTGGTGAGTGAATATATTAAGATAATGGGGTTGCAGGAGCTCTTTATATCTCTATCACAACCTCACCTCTCACCCATGTCAGGTGCGCAGATCAATAAGACTATCCTGACTTATATCCTTCACCAGAATTATCACACGTGGTGCACAACTCGTGACTGAACGCGCGCCGGCCTTCCACCAAATTTAGTTCACGCTGCCACCACTGCGGTGTCGCCACTGTCATTCGATAACAGGATGCTGCTATACATGTATGGTATTGACTATCATGTGTCCCTCTTGCGAAGTTGCTTTGCTGATCACTCCCTGTCACGCATTATGGTCCTCCAGAAAAAAATAGAAAGACGGACCGCGATTGTTATTCAAGTTTGGAGCGATGAATCTGTTGTCTGATTTTGACACCACATTCGTCGCTCCCTAAACATGATTTCACTGTCTTTATCTTTGTTTGAATTTGCAGGCAAAGTTCAACTCAAGATTCTAGGCATTAATATGACTACCTTCCTCGTCCATCTAGACCAAAATAATGTTCAGAGTGGGGGTGAATGCCGATCTATCCGCCTCCGGATTCGTATGTGGTGTCTAGGGAAGAAATTCCTCAGGTTGCTCTTCGGTCAATAACTCAGATAAGAATTTTCATGCGAGCATCCGGTCAACCTCGAGCCCTGGGTATTTTGAAGAAAAATGTTGCGAAATATGGGACTCCTGGTACGTCAGGACACAAACTGCCTGATAGGATGCTGCAAAGGTCATGTTCAAGTACGTGTGCCCTGCAGCCAGTCTCATGTCGACAATTAATGTTCAGGACAGGATGCCCGTCATCTACTTTCCGGATAATAAGTCATCGCGAGCCAGGCGGTCTGGAAAGTAGAGTCGGGGAGGTCCTCGAACGTTTGGTTCGAGACTACGATCACAATCGCATCGACCAGACCAATGAAATTATCCTCGTTCTAAGCTACTTAGTCCACATGGTACGAGGTAGCAAGACGCCAACGCCCATCGCCATGCACACCATACCTGCCATTACACAATACACCAGATTTCCTCCAAGATACTGTCTCTCAATGCTAATTGAGAACGCGGAGTTAGCTGCAGCCGGTCCAACAGCACGCAGAACAGAGACGATCACTTGTGCGAACCCGTTTGTCGCGCCCACGGACGCTCGGTTAGGAGAAGCTGCAGCGATATATATAAACGAGACGGCTTCCATAACACATCAGAAACATCAGTGAGAGAATGACAACGACAAACCATATGCAAAGTTTGTACAGCTCGTAAGAGCGAGCTGTAGGCCCACCAAATACCATACACTCTGAACAACGCCACTAGATCTCGCTAGCACATTCAAGGCCGGAAAAAGAGCGACCATAGGCAGGGCGCACGTCATAGCGAACAGCCAAAGTTTTTTCGCACCCATGATATCATGAAGCTTGGCAAAGGCTAATAGCTGTATTACGCCAACTGCAGTTCCTTGGACCGCCAAGATAGCTCCAATGGTTGGAGTATCGAGTCCTAGACCACCTAGCGATATGAGAGTAGCATAGAACACGGGTTGTACAGTGCGAAATGCGACATCAACAAGGGCAATACCGGCGTAGCTCCCGGTTGCGATGAGTACACGGCGAACGAAAAGAGCTCGAATGGGGACGGGCTGATCGCCGATCGAAAATGATGCCGGCGGAGTTTCTAGAGCGGGTGAAAGAACAATATTGCGCTTTTGCCAAGATAGCAGTTGGCTAATGTTTATTTTGGGAGTTGTGGTCTATGATCGATGTGAAGATTCATCCTGTCACACAATGGGACAACATACCTCCTTCAAGTAAAGAAAAGTGATAATCCATGATAACGCTGATACCGTGGCAGGGACCGCGCACGGCAAGAAGTACGGATATTTCTTCAGAAATTCAGAACCCCCAAAGATATTAGGGAACCTATCCGCAGGTCGCGCAAGTCCTCCACCAATGAGTGGCCTATGGTTGTGTCAGTACATATAGAAAACGAAAACTTTTGGGAACACACCCAAGCGTGCTACCGCTGGACCAGGCAAGAGGGAGGAATGCCCATGCACGGGCCATATTAGTGGAATCTGTCATCTCAGCCACCATGCTCTTCATAACGCCAATGTTTCCATTGAGTGCGCCATTCAGGCAACGACTATTACAATAAGATGTAAACGCTGGCTCGGAGGGAAATAGCGCAGACATAGGACAGACCTTATTACCAAGGTCCAGAATGTCTTGGACAAACCGAAGCAGAACATCGAGAGGGAGAGTCCGAACAGTCCAATCAGCAGGACAGGTTTGCGACCGATATAGTCAGAGAGACGACTCCAGTGGAAAATGGTAAGCGCTTCTGTCGCAAAGAACAGCGAGTACTAGGCCATAACGCCGAGATTGTCACGATGAAAACGCTCTCCACTTATCCACTTACCAATAGCCCAACATAAAACGAAACGAGCGCTTCATCTCCGTGGGTGATCCCAATGTCACGAATGAGCTATGGATGGCACAACCAAGTTATGATTTTGTCTATTTGAATCTTCAACGCTAAACGCTGACCTGAGGCGCAAAAGGTGAGATAACTTGCGATGTCATTGGTTCTGCAATCTGCAACACTAGGAGCATTGAGAACTGGCGCCATGGTAGAGGTGTCTGTGGTTTTCTTCGCCGGCGTGTTTCCCTCTGATCGAAGTAAAGGCGTTTCCTCGTCCAGCTGCCGAGACGTAGGATCAGGAGACATGAAATGATGATTGCAGAAGTATGGGAGATGACGCGATGACCGATTGAGGGAACAATCTTATTGTGGGCGGCGCGGGCTTAGCGGTCCAACTTGTTATCAAGATCATCATGATTTGGGGGTGAACACTATCATCGCCGGGCCGTACACGCTATGATCTACCAGAAACTTCGTAATTGGTAGAACATAGTACCACGAGACCAAGAGTAACCTCGAAGCGAAGAGCTCCGAGATTCTCACGTGTTCTTCTGTGTTCTTACATTATGCTGCTAGCATGCACATCGTCGTCGAGCACAGCGTTGAGGCAGGACCGGTTGCATTGCAAGTACCGCATATTTACAAGAGATATATAGCGCCCAGAGATGCACTTGGTACAATTAATCCCTCCCGAATCCCAAGAGAGTTTTTGCTTTGTCTGCATGAAACATTCAAGTCCCCGCAAACCCAGATTATGAAAGTGAATTATCAGGCTTCCAACCGTATGGCATTAATTGATATCCACGTGTGTCGCGTCATTCACTGCCTCCGGCTCCTCCCCCTCAATATCAGCAATATCAATAAAACTCTGCTCTATTGCGCCTGCATACACGCCCATCTTCCACATATCCCCTATCTTGATGTTAGCGTGGTCGAATGCAAATGCGACAACAGGGTCGCCAGCCTGACGCTCAGATACAGACGGTGGCATCTTGGGGTAGCGGGCCGAGAAGTGTGTAAGGAGGATATTTTGTGCGTTCATGCTGTTCACAAGTTGAGCAAAGGTCTGTGATTATATTGCAGGGAAAATTACCTCTTGCCTATGTCGATTGCTTGCCCGAAGGTGCTGTGCATCTTGGCGCGTGCCATCTCAACTTGATCATTGGCCATGGTGGCTTCATGGATCAGCAGAGTGGCTCCAGCGCCTGCCTGCACAAGCTTTTGGGTCGGGACGGTATCACCCGAGAACCTAAGGATGCGCTGTAAGTAACACGACAGGAGAGGAAAAATCGACGCCGTACACGACAGACCACCCATCCAGATGCTTGACAATTAACCCATGGCACCTCGCGCGATGCTCCACATCTACGGTATTTATTTTATGCAATCCAAGCGTTTTGCACAACGCTCCTGCCGCAAGCCTCGATCTTTACATCAAGAAAATAACAAAGTGCGTCAATGTGTGAGAAAATCAGGAGCTCAAACTGACACTCACCCCTTCTGATCTTGGTCACCGTAATTCCACCCGCCCCGTCCCTTGTTTCGCCAATGAATCTCATCACTCAGGATAGGTACTACGCGGGCCCGAGCATCTTCCGAGAACCCAAGCTCCTCAAGCGCGTTGTGATCTCGAAGATAGAGGAATATCATGCGATTGCTGATGAGGTAGAGTGGCTCTTCTGGGGGCGGGTCGAGCTTTTCCACATATTAGCACCAGGAGATCATCAGGGCTTGAGCAGGAACACGCACATGTTGTCTCATCGCCAAGATTTTTGCGAGACCAATGTGGTGGTCGCCATGAATGTGGCTAATGAAGATACACTTTAGGCCCCTCAAAACGTCCCACACGGCACTTCCGTAGTTTCTGGAGAGTTGCCCCCATGTACCCTCTCCTGCATCCAGGAGAATATACCCTGCTTCCGGGATACACAGGAGTGTACCAGACACTGTACAACCAATTCAGTCGGGTTTCTTAAAATGGAGATGTACGAACCATTTCGGTACTTGCTAGGTATGGCACTGCCTGTTCCAAGCGTAACCACCGTGACGTCCTTACCTATGACATCGGGTACTGTAGTCCTCATCGACGCGTGCTCGTGCCTCGGAAAATTGTGTTCTCGCAGCGTCAGAGAGTGATGGGGGCTCGCCAGACAATGCGGCAGGGTGAAAAAGATCATTCGCCTCCGCCTCAGAGTCTCGCAGTGGTGGCCGTGGCGGACGGATGTCGATGATGGTGTGTGCACGCATACAGTCGGTATTGGACGGGAGGTCCTTGGCTACCACAATTATAAAGATAAGTGACATGACGGAAATTGGACAAACTCACTATCGAGAGCTTTCTTAGCCTTTAGAGAATAATTGGGCACGGGGAAAATGTTGCTATCCAGGTGGTTGAACCTCAGCTGGTTGAACGCCGCGCTAGTAAATGTGATCGGATCTGGCACATAGTCTCTAGATGCAACGATATGCTGTTCTCTATCGCATCAGAACACCCCAGTGCACGCCAGAACAAGACCCACTCACGTGTACATCATCCTCGAACCTTTTCATAAACGCCTTATACCGCACATGCTCAAATACAGCATTGCCACAAAGATGAAAGACAGCCCTCAGTGCGTGATCTTTCTTCTCCGGCCCCTTGCCCCAATATTTTGAGAACGCGCCACTCTCAAACCCCTTGACGAGAGAAGTTATATGCGCAATGCTGGGCGCATCCAGTATCAACACGACCTGTAATTCGGTCAGTCCGTTGACTCCCAGATCGAGAGCGAATGGTAGAAACATAGCACGAAAAGGAAACACACCCCAGGATCTTCACTAGCACCTATGACATCACTCGGCCCAACACTTCTCTCCACTCCATCTTTGCCCACTACGGTTACCGTCTCTCCTCTTGCAACTCGTGCACGTAACGGCCCAGCCTTCAGACCGAGTGCCTCCGCGTGTTTGACATCAAACTTTCCCCGAACTCGCGGACCAACCACCGCATATGCGAGCGTTGAACGTAGATTGCATGGAGGTAATGAAGGTAAGGGACGGTTGAAACCTGACGGCTGGGAGACATGTTCGACCTTCGCGGACGAAACAACGGGTTTGGCAGCAGACCCAGGAAACATTGTGCGCACGATGTGTCGAAGCCATTCCTGTGCAATGTCACCGACAAGCGTGGTAGGGTCGAAGTCGGGGTGAGATATAACTTCCTGTAGCGATAGTACAGCAGGGGAAGGCGAACGCTTCCTCTTCCCCGATCTCCTATTGACGACACTGGTTTCAGAGTACGGCAGTGTGACCGATCCCGAGGCCTCCGATGACTGATCCTCAGCAGAAACTGATAATGCGAACACAGAAATATTATCGTCCTTGTAGATGGGTATATCGTCAGGTGGTTCATCCGGGGGGCGGGAAGTAGGTATTTCGATCGGGTTCACGGAGAAGTTTTCCCTATGCTGATAGCGTTACGATGAACCATTGAATATCAGAACACAAGTACCTAAATGTGTATTTACGCATAACTGCCATGAAGTGCAACAGCCCAGCTGGCCCGGCAATATTGAGGCTGGTAAGACCCGAGTCCGCAAAAGTCATCAATAAACCTGCCGAAGAAACGATCGACAGTTGGCATGCATGCACATGATCAGGATCACACTCACCTGGAAGGCCGCTAGCTCGCTGAGTGCCTACAGAAGTCAAGAACACGCCTCTAGTCTTCTTCCAGTTCCTCCTGCTCTGGAGAAACGCGCGGGTAGTATTCTCACCGACATTAAAGATGTACTTGGCAGAGTCAAAGGTGATGACAACAGTAGGCTCTGTATCCGAGGATATGGAGCTGAGGACTGACGCGTTCCAGGACATGGGCACTGACAGTGATGAAGATCGTGAAAAGAATCGTGCTGAAGAGTAGTGAAGAGAACGAGTTATGTGGGATAGTATATACAAGTTACGACCACATGACCAGATAGCCAGACTGATTGAGACCTAGTCAGACTAGGTTTTCTATTTAACAGATGAGATCACAACACGGTTTTCGTGACTCCTAGCCAAGCAGCAGAAAATAACGTCAAGTTGAATGCTTACGCGATGTGCGCTAGATGGCTCTGGTAATTTGCCGCAATTTGCCGCATGGCACAGAATTTCAGAGGATAATCGATATAGGGTGGTACATAGGGAAGTGACGGACGAGACTTAGAGCATAAAGTGAAACTGAGCACCCATGTAGGTAGGCAGAGAAGTAGATAGGTCTGCATGGTCTGCTTTGAAGGGAAACCATACTTAATCCAATACACATACGAAATACCAACGAAAATCGCTCAGATCCCTAATCTTCGGGGGAAAACATACAGCTACAGTATTTCTATCGTCCTGATGTCTATGAGGTCTCCGACAGAAGCCATATCTTTGACCTGTGCAATGATGTCACGATCCGACGCAACCCTCCTGTATTCTCCGCCGCGCTGTCGCGCTAGCAAAAATGCCCCGAAAGGTTGTCCAAGGCGAACAAGCAAACGCAATGCTCGTGATTCTAGATCGACCTCCTCCTGTTTTACAAGAGAACGACTAGGTGAGTCATCTGATGGAGAAGGAGGCGTCCAATGATCCCCCTCGTTTTCCATATCGTCCTCAACGTCGGACAGATCTACAAAGTCTGGTAGCTCGAGGAGAGACCGATCCCAGGGACGAACAAGCACTAAGGTTTGCTGAGTGAGCCTTGTCCGTGACAACTGAACAATCGGCTCTTTGGTGGTGATCAGCAGGTCACGAAGCCCGTCCGCCTTGACTTCATATCGAGTCTCCTGGGATGGACCGTAGCTCAGATTGACGTCTGTGACATGAAATACCATGCAAGGCAGATGCAGTCTGCAGTTTGCGAAACGAGCAGCGCTCGTATTATCAAGTTGGGTGTAAATTTTCGAAGCCAAATCTACAGCCACGGGATTTCTTTGTAGCGAAGAGATGGTTGTCTGAATATCATCTTCGGACAAAGATGGAAGGGTGCGTAGAGGAGTGGTGTAAGAGGTAATATAGGCTGGAAGACAGCTATTGAACTCGGATGGTCGTCCGATCCAGTCGAGGACAGTGATGTCGCCCGACCGAGCCACGATTTCCTGCAGGAGCCGCCCAAGCGCGTTCTGCTTCTTCTCGCCGTAGATTACAGGCAGGTGGACACCGAAGATACCAAACAATGAGTACGCGATGTCTTCCTGCAATGTAGTGACGCGTGGTGACGCCCATTGAAGTCTCTGTCGGGCATTGCTCATCCCTGGACGGAAGGAGATCAGGGCCCGCGCATCTATTCCCGTCGCACCCTCCAACTCCTCCATGATTGCAGGGGACTTTTTGTGGTTGGGAGACCGATTGCCGAGATATAACGACCAATCCTTCTGATAAAAGATGACAACTTTCGGAGCGACAAATTCTTGAAAGGTCCATCCTCGCTTGTTCCAAACACTCCTCGCCAGTGCACCGGGCTTGGATGATGGAGGGACATCCCCCAGGTAGACGATAGTAAGCGCTGAGTAGCGGTACCAGACGAACATGGAGTTGACCGATTCTTGAAGCTCGGTATTACTCCTCTTGTCGATGCAGCATGTGTCCATCCATGCCCAGCAGTACCCAGCATCACGAGCGATTTTGCAGAACGACTGCAGTTTCGCGATGCCACCAAGTCCATTCAACTCGTACACGATCTTGTCCTGGATGTCGTGCAGCAGCACCTCCGTCTCTTCCCACCTGTGTGATAGCAGGACGCAGCGGAAGTACGTCGCCACCGTGTCTTTGATGCGCTTCTTTCGGAGGCTCGAATCCTTCGTTGGAAATGAGATAAGCTCATGGTACTCTGGGCTCATTTTGAAAGTATTCATTTGTGCCGTTCTATCGCACAGAAGTCCCGTATAGGTATTGAGCAGACGAAGGGGGGCATATTCGAGTTCAATCCAAACAGCTCTTTGAATAGCGTCTTCTCCTTCGGATGGAGAGACATACTGCTGACGCAGATCTGCAGAGCAGGATGGGCATTTCGAGACGACGCAGGTGTGTTCCAAGACTTACCTCGTATCCGCGCTTCGGGAGCATCTTCCAACTTGGACAACATGATTGTGAAAGCCTTGATAGCTTCGTCGTAACGTTGCGCGCCACGCAGTGCTGTATGTGTCAACTGGTATCCAACATGGGACGAAGGACTGAGTTCGGTGACCTATGCATCGCCGAAGTCAACATGGGCTGGGAAAACGTAGATGCCATCGCACCTTTTGCGCGTCGAGGAGTGCATCTTCCCATAGCATTTTGCCTAACTTTGCCTTGCTGCGATTTGCAAAGATGACATCGGATGTAGAATCCAGGTCGATCGCCGCTGAGTATAGGTCAATAGCTCTGTCATACTCACTTGCAGTGAGGGCGGCATCTCCGTTGACAGCGCAGAACGTGCTGCATTCTTGCTTGAAATCTAAGAGAAATGCAGGTAAGAATTGTAGCATGCATGACATTGCGGACTCTAGACTTGCCATTGGACCAGTCGAGGTAGTCGGCCTTGGTATTTTCGTCACTTGAAACCACCATGTATTGATATGATTTAACGGCATCTTGAAGTTTACCTGCCCGAAGGAGTGCATGACAATGTTTCTGGTGTGCAGTCAACCAGAAAGATTTAAGATCCCAGCCGAAGAGCTGGGCAAGGGACTCAGTTATGAAAAGCATTTCGGATGTGTATCAACGTACCACCACCAAGTCTGCATATATTTCATGAATAGGCCATTCCGATGATAGATTGCTGGAATCGAGAGCGGCATTGAAACGGTCAGTGTCCTCAGCATGACGTGTGTCATCCAAGGCCCTGATTCCGAGTTGAACACGTAGATATGCCTAATGTGCTAGTTAGTGTTGAAACGTTGATGGCTCAGCGTGGCTGCACAATATTTACTTCCACGACATGGCATGCGCGAGTATCGGCATTCGGACAACCAGAAATGAGTTCTTTCAGAAGTAGATTTGCCTCGTCATGTTGATCCGCATTGAAGAGGGCGATGGCCTGAAATACGGAATGAAGCAGAGAATATGTGAGGCAACTGTAACATACTTTGATCAAGAGCAGAAAATGAACCGTTTGTGAATCTTGATTAGTGTACATGGATGCAACATCAAATGCTGCCCTCGCATCCAGGACGCGGCCTATTCCGCAGAGGGCAATACCATTGGAGATATAGCCGGTCAATGAGGGCTGAATGCTGATGGACTATGTCACCGTCGAGTCAGCCCCCCACAAAGGGGCGATGATGGGTCAGTGAATCTCACCTTGATTACATCCTGAAGGGCGTGATCCCAGTCGCGTTTTCGCGCCATAACGAATGAGCGATGGGCGTGGGAAGTATAGTTGTTCGCATCAGCGTCAATCTCTCGTGTGAGTAGTTCTTCGGCGGTAGACAAGTCTCCATCTATGCATGCATCGCGGGCTGTCGTGATGGCTAGGATCTGCACGAAACATGCTCGAATTGTGGTATACGAATCAAGGACGGAAACGTGCCTTTGGATTGATGTGTTTGGGTACTGCCCACTCTGAGATCATATGATCGTCACCGCCGCTGAGGATATGCTTGCCGTCCATGGAGAAAGTGACACAAAACGTCCCATTTGAGTGCTTGAAGATGGCAACGGTTCGACGGTCTGAGAGCCGCCAGAGACGGACATGGTGGTCAGGAGATGCCGAGGCGACGAGTGTGCCAGCAGGATTGATGGTGATGGCATTAATATAGTCAGTGTGGCCCGTCCAAGGAACGCCGACTTGCTGCCAGGTTGTTGTATCCCATTCGCGTATGGTAGGGTCGGCCCTATTGCCGGCTGTGAGAAGGCGTGTGCCATCCAGCGTCCACGCAAGTGAGTGGTTGTCTGATGTGTGAGCCTTGAAGGATGTGATGCGTTCCCTTGTGGCTGGATTATAAATCTGGATGTTTTTTTTTGTTGCGATGGCAAGAAGTTCTCCAGACGGCGAATACCGTGCACAGTAGACACCACTACCACACTTTATTGGATCTCCTTGTTGCTCCCAGGTTTCGGTGTTCCACAGTTTTGTCATTTCGTCATGTGAACCTGTAGCTAGCACTTTTCCATCGGGAGAAAAATCGAGCGAGAAGATCTTATCGGAGTGGGGTTTGACGGGTTGGGTGAGTGATTCGCCAGTTTCTCCGTGCCAAACGATGAACTCTGCGCCCCAATCACTGCTTGCTATCAAATGCCCATCTCGTGATACTGCCAATCTCATTACCATATCGCAATGTCCCTCCATCTTCTTCAACACAACGCCTGTCTTCAAGTCCCACAGACGAAGTGTCCTGTCCCATGAGCCCGTAACCATCCGTCGATTATCGGGGAGCACTGCGACTCCATCCACGAGTGTTTCATGGTCTTTGAACTTTCGCAGGGGTGTAGTGATTGGAATGAGCTTCGACATTTTACTGGAGGTTGATGGTGTTGAGCACGGTCAAAGTGGAGGGATTATGGATGCGTGTTGTTTTTTTGGTGGAACGATATTATCAACTAGCAACTGACACAGTCAATCCTAGAAGATATGTTTGGGGAGCGGGAGTTTCACCTGTGTGTTACTTAAGAATAGTCACCCAAAGGAAATACTTTATGTATGTATGACTCAACGTTGTGTCTTGTTCGGAATTACCTATTTCGTCCCGGAGGACGGTGAGGCCACTTACGGAATTTACCCTTGGCAAGGTCAGATAAACTGACTCATTGGGAAGGCCAAGTGGCGCCCACACTGACCCGGAATGTCATAGTTGTATGTCGTTCTCGCGACTGAACGACCCATCGACATCTTCCATCCTTTACAGTATGCTAGCCCATTCAACTCCCTTCCACGCCTCCATGTTTTTCAGTCCTGCACCCTGAGCTGCCGTCTTTCATCTTTTCAAGCAACTCTGGAATCATCTCCCTAGGTGTCATGACGCGTCACAACCAGCAGTGTCACTATCAGCGTCAGCATAAATCACATCCTCAGGCCACTTTTTTCTCGTCACCTTCTCATCACTGATGTTTTCCTTCTCTTATCCCCCACACCCTCAATTCGGGACCGCATTCTCAGATACGAGCTGGTAGCGAGTGCACCACCTAGAATGAGCAAACACCCCTGCTTGGCAGCGCGGATACGAGCACTATTGGACTTGAATCACTCGATGTCTTATATGATGTACCAGACCTCGAGTGGTGTGAGCTTTACGCCATCCTTGTCTTCCCTTCACCTGTCTTCCAAATCTCCTTCCTCAACTCTAGGCACCTCTTCAAAAGCTTCAACTATCCTCACAACCTTCTCTATCTAGAGATCTTGCACCTCCCATGTCCATGCCCACGGTGCCCTCACCGCCCTTACCCTTTACTTGTATCCCCACATTTCTATAAAAGTCCTCCACACTCCACTGTACAAAGCTGAAAGAGACCGCAGCCCAATGCGAACCATCCACTCAGAGCGGCTGTCCAGCTCACTCCTCTGAAAATAGGACAAGATCTCTCAGTGCAACAGGCGCATTGTGTGCTGCCTGTAGTGACTCATCCCATCACACGTTGCTTCGTACACTTTGTCTGGGCCATCAGGGAAGGATGTGTGATGATGCGTGTGCGCTTCAAGTTGTATGCTGGTCATACTGTGTATGATATGCCATTTGATATCGTCTCTAGGTCTCTTACATCTTGTACTGTGTTGAACACATGCAGAAAATCGAACGTCGCAAGGCCATCTCTTGGCACAGGCACCCTTCACCATACAATTGAAGATGGACCTGATCAATAAACTTGTACTCGTGTATAACGGGTAAACAACATTCCATCTTGTCTTTACGTTCACAATGCTCGAGGTATAGCCCAAGCATAACGCTACCATCTCAGTCAGGCCATGCGCGTCCTTGTGTCCATCATCTTTCTTCGCCTCAGTGTATGGA